TTTTTTTTCTCCTTTAATTCCTGGAAGCTATTCTTTTTCCTATTTCCTATTTCCCACTACTCTTAAACAATAAACCACTCCTATCACTTACTAACACTTTATTCTCTCGTAGAACCCATTTCAACTAATTTGTTTTTATTTTACAAAAGAAAAAATTCTACGTTTGTTTTTCCATATTTACGCCCCTTCTCTTTCAAATTCTGTTTGGTAAAACGAACCTCCAATGTGTACAAATGTGGATCACCCATTCCTCGTGGCCACCATGGTTTCACTATCGACAGCGATCCCTTTTGTTCAAGACCTCGTGCCGAGTAAACCTAACAGATGCAACCTTTGTTTACACCAAATTCATCGAAACCAATGGTAAATATTTGAAGTGCGGATAGATTGTAGAGCAACCTACAAGAACACCATCTGGATCATACATGCGTACAAAAACATCTTCATCGGATCGATTCTGACTTAGAATTACTTCGTAGGAGAATGAACCTGAAAATAAGTGGGCAGTAGAAGAATGAAGAAGGGAAAATAGTAAAAATTTCGAAAAGATTTTTCCAGTCAAAATCAAAACGATGAGAAACTCAACAGGGGCGAGTTTTGCTTTCAATGAATTGGGCTTTGATGAGAATAGCGGTAATATATAGAAAATAGAACTAATAAAATCAAATTCGATAATAACTCATTGACTATGAAATGTTATTAAAAAACAGCACAAATTCGTCTAACTTTTTGGTTGAGTTCTTAAATCTCCACTGATTATCAAATTAAAAGAATCGGGCAAGGTAGTGGATAAGAATCAGAGTGAATGGATTGGATGGACCGTTTGCGAGTTATTGAATAATTATGACCATATCGAGATTGTAGACAGATCAAGGATATTTAGTGAGGGCAGAATTATTATCAAAGGCAAGCAATCTATAGTCAGTTATTGCAGATGTCATCAGATTGACAAATGACTTCCCTTTCCAATATAATAGAAATCTGAAAGCGAAAAAATGCAGTTTTTGCAAAATTCTGTGCTCTTAGTTTGGCTGTGAGATGCATTAATTTATGTTTGATGGCGTTGCTTTAACTGCAGGTCAAGTTCGGGCTTTTTGGAAAAAAAAGCAAACTAACTAACCTAAGTGTTCAGCAAGGATTCGTATATCCACTATATGACTTTGTGGCAGTTTCAGCATATAAACTGGTCTTAAAAGTCCTGCATAATTGAAGAAGTCGAAGTTTCCTACGTTCTTGAATGCTCCTTCTGGGGTTCGAGACATCTAAATTTCAAAAAAAAAGTGGTTTTAATGAGATGCATTGATAGTGCATTTATGGTGCTGGTAGCCAATAAAAGGTGCAACAAAACATTCAGCCAATCAGCGATGAGCTCGCCTTTTATTGGCTCAAAATCAATAAAACTCACATTTTTCCCACCAATAGTTCGGGTTGTATCGCGTGCATAGTTGAAATCACCCGGTGGAATGGTGGACCATGATAGAGTGTTATTTACAGCTACCGTAATCTGGAAGGGTGCGTTTAGTTGATTGCCAATAATAGGTATATCTATAAGAAGGAATTACCTTGTTTTCCCGACCAAATAAAGCTACTTGTGTGACATCAAATTCAAATGGTAAATGTCCACCTACATGAGATCCAACTTCTTTGTTATTAAAATACTGAAATTTCCATTGATTTATTGATTTTCATTTGACTAAATCATAATTTTTGAATGAGATCTACGTACAACTTTAGCAAAATAATTAGCACTTCCAAATCGTAGAGCAATATGTTGTCCCATATCCCGTTCTGGGATGATCACCATTGTCTGATACCATACCCATCCAACATGATCTCGTAATTCTGCATCTGCGGACATGTCATTGTATGCGGCTGGTACCGGCATTACTGTAGCATTCTGCAATACTATAAAGAGGCAACAATGCAACTATGGTTATGAAACTATAGCATAGACTTCGTGCAACACCTTTTGACATACGGAACGCAACGCTCACGGATGCGGTTGCGTCGCGGCGCTGCTTATCTCATCACATATGCAAATGGTGAGACGCATGATTACAAATAATTTTGAAGCAACACATTTTTCTATTTGTTACATGCAGCGCATAACGAGCGCGCGAAGCGTTCCAAGTGTCAGTTAAAGTGGCAAGGAAACTAGTAGATCGGCAGAAAGTTTATTCTTTAAATAACTCACTGTAAATTTCCTTAAATCTAGTGCATACCACGCATTTTTCATACCAATATCGTTGCTGTTAGTTGGCTCTCTAACAAAAGTCCATAATCCGTCTAATGACTCTGCCGAGCGAAGTTCGTTTTTCTAAAAAATATTTTTAGTTCTAGAAATGGAACAAAGAAAATTTGAAAAACCTTGTGGTTGCCAGTGAAAAATAGGTTAAAGACATTACCATTATTTCTGTTGGTATTTGATCGATATGTTTTTTTTTTCCCCGAGTAGAATCTTTCATATCACCAAAAAGATGTTTTTTTAACTACATTTCAGGATACAAGAAGTTTTTTTTTGTTAATTTAGCTTAACTTTTTGTAGAATTTTCACTAAAGAGATACTGTAAAGTGAAATACGGTAGGTGGCCAAACTCACATAACGTGAAAAAAAATTTATAGACGGTTATTTTCATTGAACCGTCATACCATAGTAGGTGAATCCCAATTAAAGTTGTTTTAATACTTCTTTCAAGCTCCTTATGGAGTTTAGAGTCCCTAAATACATGAATC